CTAGATGAAATAAATGATAGCTTAAATAACGATTTAACACTTGAATCAGAAAACGAAGCACCCAATAGTCAACACGACTTTTCTGAATTTTTGGACACTAATAATTCAAAAAAAAAAAAAAATTAAATTGGACAGGTCAAGAATGGATATTGAAATAGATGTTTATATAAGTAGTGTTGTTGATCCATGAATTTGTGTGCTAACATTCTGGAAAAAAGCAACAGAATTTAAAATGCTAAGGCAATTATCAAGGCATATACTCAATATCCCTGTCAGCTCTGCAACAAGCGAACGAGTTATATATATATATATATATATATATATATATATATATATATATATATATATATATATATATATATATATATATATATATATATATATATATATATATATATATATATATATATATATATATATATATATATATATATGTTTTTAATTTTTATATTTAATATATAAAAAGTTCGTGTTGGGCCGTGTTGGGCCGTGTTAAGAAAAATTTTCGTCGTGCGTGCGTGTTTCTAAAAGTTAATTTCGTGGCCGTGTCGTGTCGGGCCGAAAATAGTCGGCCCGTGCCCATCTCTACCCTGTACCCGAAGGGTAAAATTAGTTTTGTGCGAATGTAAATGTAACACACAGACGGAGGCATGGCAGACCCCACAAAGTATATATATTCTCGATCAGAATGACAAGCCGAGTCGATATAGCCATGTCTGTCTGTCTATCCGTCTGTCTGTATGAACGCAAGGATCTCAGAAAGTATAAGAGCTAGAATAACTAAACTTGGTATCCAGATTTTCCTGACCCCGAGAAACGGCAAGTTTGTTCATTTTTCGATACACCGATTTAACCATATGCTAAAATTGAATTAATTAATTAAATTAAATAAATTTTGTTAATAAATTTTTTTATGTGGTGGTACAGGGTATTTAAGAGTTTAGCCTGCTCGACCTTAGCATTCCTTTCTTGTTATATTTGATGTCAGTTTTGACATGTAAATTTATGTTAAGAGTATTTAAGAGTCATTCGCTAGCTATGGTAAAAGCTCGCCAAACATTGTACACTTTCGTTTTTGCCTATTCATGGTAAAAAAAAGTACAACTGAGTGTTTTTGGCTTCGTTTTGTCTGGTATATTTATTACCAAAAAAAACCGTCATTCTGTTTTGTCTGTCTATAACAAGTTTCCTGAGAATCTGTTACCAGTTCAGCTGATGACGACGATTTTGAAAAAAGCTTATCTACATATATTGTTTGTTGAAGTTAAGGTTTTAGTTTGTTTTGAAGTTTCTTATGAGGCGGTAGGAAGCTCGCTACTGGTGTTCGAATTAATAAATATGGATTTGAGTTTAAAATGTTTGCTTATTATGTCTATGATTATTTTATGCCATTTAATGACTGTGAATGAGGCGCAGGAGTTTGAAACGCTGCCTAATGCAAAGTAGGTCGCTCAAATTTATGTGAAGGCCGTGAAAAGTAAACAAAACTGGTTAACCCATTTTGATTTGTTTCAAAATACCCACAGTGCTGGTGTTCTATATAAAAAAACAACAATAACAACATATACACCAGATGGCAGTGGAGAATTGGTAACGTCGGCATCGCGGTTGATGCCATGGCAGCAATTTCAACAAAATCAAGCGCCAAATAGTGTCGTGAGCATTATTAAAACGGAAGCACAGAGGGTGCCAATACAAATCATTGAACCGGCCCAGCCACAGCCGGATCAACAACAGCAACAACACCACCAACAGCAACAGCACTTTGTGGCAGGTGAAGCGTTGAGGCCATTGTTGGAGCAATTGGTGAAGCAAACTGTGCCAAATCGGCAGCCAACACTACACCGCCAACAAGAGCAGCAACAACATCAACAGCAGACAGCCCAACAGCAGCAACAGCAACCGCCTAAAAACACTCAACTACAACAGCAACAGCAGCATCAGCAACAGCAACACTTTTTTGTTTTTGCCAATCCACAGAAGAGTCAACAACCTCAAATATTGCCCGAGTTCATTGGCGTCAACTTGCAACAGCAGCGGGCGGAGCAACAACAACAGCAGCAACATCCACACGAGGTGATGGCAATGCCAATTCAGCCGCAACAACAGCAGCAGCAACAACAACAACAGCAGCGACAACAGCAACACCAACAGCAGCAGCCACAACAACAACATCATCACCAGCAGCAAGGACAACAGCAAGAACAACAGCAACTATTCCAGCCCTACTCACCATTCGCGCCAAAAATCACACAAGTCGCGTTAAGGGCGCCTATACCAACAACAACAGCAACTTCAGCAGCAACAACAGAGCGCGATGACGATCTGCAGCCATTGCTGCCATCGTATGTACTGTAAGCATATTTGAACTACATACTATTTGCCATTGTTCTTATTGTTTTTAACAAAAACACTCCCTCACTCGCTTACCTATTTTAATTAGTAACCCTCCATCGTCGACGCCTGCGCCACCGGAAGTCTGCGTGCGTTGTTGTAATGCGGGAGATGTGGTGCCCTGCCGAGGAGACTGCTGCGGCACCAAGCCCCTGATTAGCTCAGCAGCTCTGAAGACAACAGTTGGTTAGCTGTCGAGCCGGAGACGCTTTAATTGTTTTATAGTAAAGCTTCAGCACAATATAGTACTAATGTCGAAGGAATAGTTGGATTGTGTCTCGACTAAAAGTGAAGATGAAAACCAGTTTATGAACCAGTATTAACCAGTAGCGAAGCGGTTTCCAAAACGTGATGAGTGTTTAATAAGTATTCAATATTTACATATTTATTTATGGCTTAATTTTTTGGTATTAAGTGTTTTTTGGCAATCAGGAAACATTTCAGTAATAGAGTATGTGCTGAAATTGTTTTTGCAGCCCTTAGAGAGTAGGCTGATATAATATTTTATAGTAAAATTCGAATATGTGTTTAAACAATTAACTTATAAAGTGGTTAGTACAATTGTGGTTGATTTAAAGGTTGTTATTTTAAGTAGCCTGTACAACACGAGGCTTTAAATGTGTATTTTATATTGCCTTTTGCGGTAAAAGGGTATAGCCGGTTGTCCATTATTAATGCATCCCTGGAATGAAGCATTCTTAAGTTTACATTTCTGCGCCTTCCCTCTGGAAAGAGGTCTTGAATAATCTGCCAAATCAAATGTGTAAATATTAATTGCTGGAGATATTTTACAGCAAACTTTCCTACTCTTTACAATTCATGAAAACGAAGGGGTTAGTTTAAAGATTCAATGACATTGTGCGGTTAATTAAAAATAAATTAAACGCAACCGTTATTAATAGGGGCAACGTGAGTTGGATAAAACGTGCTGCCTGGGGGTTGCACTGCAAATGTTCCCTGCCGATAACTTGAGAATGATAACGACAGCGAGTTTGTTCATGTGCGACAACTTCAGCTGCAATTTTAATTTAACAACAAGCTGTCGCATGTAGACAAATACACATCCACACCCACATCCTCCAACAGCCTGCATCAAAAGTTGTGAGCATGTGTGTATTAAAACGCAAGCAACAATATGTGTCTTATCTGTCATCGTGGCTAGGTCCGATGTCGCTGGAAGCGTTGTACTCCTTGCACATGAGCATGCTATACTATACTCGTATATGTTTGTTTCTGTGCTTGTCTGCGCACAACTTCAACACAAAAGCAGCAACTAAAAACAATTTCTAAAAATATAAAACAAACCACAAAACCACAACACTTCATGTTGAGTGTGGCATACACGTTGTTGTTGCTGTTGCCGCTCCTCAGTCACATATGAAATAATAAATAAAAAATGTTCAAAACCTCATAGCAATGAGTCTGCATGCAGTTTCTATGATGTTTTAGTTCATCTATGTGTGAGCTCATGAGTGTTTGTGGGTGTTTGCGTAAAAAATGAAAGTGTTGAAGTGATGGCCATTGTTTGATGTCAACGCTACGGCGGCATGCCAGTCGGTGGTAATGACTTCTCGTCCGCTACGATAGATCGTACATTGGTTTTGGTAAATGAATATTTAGATGTACATAATCCAAACGCTTTTTTGATCTGGATGTTTTGAAAAGTACATAGTATGTAGCTGTAGCTTTAACAGCTTATGATCTCATAGTAATACAAACGAGAGCATCTTGATCCATTTCAAAAAGAGAAACTTATACTTCTTTATCAAAGGTATTCAGGTAAGATAGAGTAAAAGAATTGAAATAAGGCAAGGTTGAAGCATTTATTCAATTATTAAAAAAATGTGGCTCATATACTCGTATATGGAAATAAGTTAATCATCTATTTTTTTAACTTGCTTGTCTTATGAACGCAATTTGGAGTGTGTTTGGAAGTACAAGTACAGTTGAACGAAGCGCTGATTTATAAAGATAATATACTTATCAGTATGGATCTGTATAATAGAACCCTAGTTAGTAGCAGAACATTTAAGCAAGAAAGAATAATAGATTAGCGATTTTTGTTTAAGCCCCAATAAGATGTGTGCTGTTGATTTAAATTGGCAATTGCATACAATATTGCATCGGGTTGTGTGCAGTACAGAGTTGAATCAAAGTGGCTCCTGGCAGAGCATGGACAGGGATTAGATGAACATCTATAAATTCCTTAAAAGTTGATCTATCAAAGGGGAATTTTACTCGTAATATAGGAAACCAATCATAGCATTCCATAATGGGGTGTTTAGAAGAATTAAATACCATGAAAAAAAAACATTTTTGAGGTAAACTCTTTACAGCCATGTGATTAATTTCTCTCATTTTAAGAAATGCATCTAATTCATATACTTACACATTTCTTTATAAATATACTATAATATTTGGATTGACTTTTAATGAATGATGTAATAAGTAGCTAGCAATATATGTTGGACTTTCCTTCCAAATGGATTTCTGATTATTAAAATGATTAATTTTAAGCATTACATATATTTTTTTAGTTTAGATTTAAACATCAAGTAGTTAACGATTTAACAATCACCTTAGAAAGATTGAACAATGTAAGTCAGTCATAATTTTTAATATTACTGAACAAATTCAAAACACCCATCCCATTTCGGTACACGTGCTGATGATATATATTTTTTTTGAACAAAGAATGGCAACTGTTAACTAAACTATAGTCAACAAAATCCAATTGAACTGTGCCAATCGATAACGTAAGACGGACTATAGCTAAAAAGCGTTTTTAGCAGTTGCTTGCACGTTGTGTGTATCGATATATTTATATATATATACATATATACTTATATACGTTTGGCATTTGGAGGTAAGTGGATTAAGGTGTTTACACTATAAGCATATTACTGCTGTTGCCCCAATTTCCGTGCAATTCGCTTAATAGGTAAATCCTTTATGCTGCCAATGGGCAATAATCAGCAAGCGTTGCTAATTAAATTCTAAACATTTGCCAGCAGCGCTGAAGAAGCAAGCACTAAAAATTATTTTTTATATGTATAAGTATTTGTATGCGCCAGAACCAGTCATGGAATCAGACCAGAGGCAGCAGCCCCTATATATCGCACGTACGTGTACATGGTGTGTATGTGTGTGTGTGTGTGTGTGTGTGTGGGTGTCTCTGTTTATTTAAATGGGTTGAGATGGCAAAGAAGTCTCATCTTGGGCTGACGGCTTTTGAACTTGCCTGTTGTTGTTGTTGTTGTTGCTTTGGCTCTGTTGTTTTGTATTCTAAATTAACCGTTTCGTTACGTCAGAGCGCGAGCTGCTGGCTGTGTGGGTGCCTTTTGTGCGTTGACAGTTGGGAACGTCGGCAACGTTGATGGCTGTTGTGTTTAGTTTCAAGTTTGTATAAGTCAGTCATGCGTGCCCGAGCGGTGGCAATTGGCACAATCAGCCGGCGACAACAGAGGCAGCAGCAGCAGCATCCAGCTTAGAACGACTGTCGGCATAGTCGCCTTGCCCGTTGCAAGTTGCCAGTCGGCAGCTGGAAGTTGAAAGTTGGCTTTGTCTTTTAGTTGCTTCTGCTTGCTGCTCTCCCTGATTGGCATTTACAATTAGCGCGCGGGTAAACAGAAAATCGCATGCCGTTTGTTTAAGCCGTTTGCCTTAAGTGCTGTTGCCAGTGCCTCTCTGTGAATGTTTCTAATGAACACAGCTGTTGCCAATGCCGGCCAACTTTCTGTGTCGCCTGAAAGTATGCAGCGCCACCACTATTTTCTAATTATCTCTTAAACTTGTAATGCGAAAAATCGTATTTACATATTCCATTTCAATCATGTTATCCTATGCTTGATTAATAATACCTTGCCAATCTCATACTCTTATCTTTGACTTTATTAAATTTTGACTTGACCTGCTGATTTATTTCTGTCAACGGGTGGTCCACACACGCACTCCCTTGCCTTTCAATTGACTCGATAACTTTCACTTTATCACTTTGCAATTAACTGGTGTTGTCAGAAAATTTTGCATTATTATTATTATTATTAGCTCGCTTGTGATTTATTTGTGTACCTGCTTGACTGCCGTTTGCAGCTTGCATGTCAGCCCGCCCACCCGCTGCTTAAATTTTGCAAAACATTTTCCAGTACACGCCTTGTCAACTGCGCTCTCAGCTGCCACTTAAATTTTCTTGGCCTTTTGTGTAGTCCGTTCTCTGTTTTGGTCATTTCAACGACAGCTTTTCAATAATTGCACAAAACTTGCATGAAAATGCTGGCACATGCTGTTGGAAAACTTACAATTAATTATGCTTTATTGCAGTTTATTATTTTTGTTGCTCTTGCTGTTGCTATTGGTGGTTTTGTTGCCTTATTGCACCTTTTCATGTCAGCTGGGTGCGCAAGCGTGAAGCTTAAAAAGTCTTCGATAAAATAAAAGTAATTAATGGCCATTAAGTGAACAGGCGTTATAACACTTCGATCTCTGCCTGCTTGCGCTAATGACCCACAATATGCAGTTGCAAGTATGAGTGTGTGAGTATCGGCATGTAAATGGCTTGCTTGCAGTTGTGTTTTTTATGACTTTTTGCACATTAAGTTATTGCAAAGATTAAAGTTGCCAATGGCCTGTAAACAGAATCAGAATCGTGTGAAAATGGGCCAACAAGCAATGTAAACTGGCAAATATGTTCAATAGTGAAGATATGTACTTGAAGTACAGAAGCAGAAATATGCTAGATGCACAGATATAGAGTTTTCTTGTTTTGAGAATCGAAAAAGGTGTGATCCATAAAAATAACGCTTCTAAAATTAATTAAAAAATTAAAATATTACAAAATGTTGTTTTTAGAATATTACTAAATGTTTTCTTTTCTTTGCCCTCCATAGTTATTATTAACGTTTGGGTTCAAGGTTCAACGGAAAATTTCGATCAAATATAAATATAAACGAACAGAAAACTGTAAGTTTAAGATACTTCCCCATAGACCTGTATTTATTTATATCATATTCCGTCTCCCCACAGTTCTAAAATGGTTGCTCGAGAGGGCTTTGCATTTGTGGTTCTCTATGTGTTCTTAGCTGGTGCCCTCGTGCGGCCTCAAATGAACATAAGCATTGTGGTGGACTCGTTGTTCTTTCAGGCCAATTATGCAGCTGTTATGGTGCTGACATATAAGTTTGATTTCTACATGCTGCTGGCTGCGGTTCCGCTGTCCGGACTCACGGTCTTTGCATGCACTAAGTGGAATATGGAAACGGAGCATCAGAATAGCATTCGAGTCTTAATCGGAGGCATGATCATGTGCTATTTTGCAGCACTCTCGGCCAATGTGGCCGCCAATGGGATGGTCATGCAATATGCGTTGGCCAAATTCGGGCAATGTCCGGCCAAAGCATGGCAAATGTATGCCGACCTGCAGTTGGCTTTTTTGCAATCGATCCCCATGAATGGGAAGAGTCTGGTCATGTGTCAGCCAAGGCATAGTGTTCGGTTGGTCTATCCACTATCCACCAAAAGCTAAGAAGGTGGGGTAATGAGGGGCATGGGAAAAACTGAATCAAATGAAATATGTATTACTTGGCATATACAAAGAATTAAATTAAATATAGCAGTTTGACCGCAATTGAAATGAACATCTAAAGCATCTAAAGCGAAAACCAATTCTGATATACGATGGTGATGAGTATTACATTTTGAGCAGCACAGTAACAGGTTTGGGTTGTTTTCTTCTATTGTTGTTATTGCTTTTACAAAAGATACAACTTCATCAATGAGAAATTGTTTGTTGCGTAAAGAATTTAATTAAATTGCATGCATAATCAAATCAAATTGCTTTCGCACTTTAAGCTTGAATTATGTTTATTGCAATGGCTACTTGAAAGCTTCTCATCTCCGTATGAGTGTGTGTGTGTGTGTGTGTGTATGTGTGTGTGTGAGTATGTGCTGTACTGACACTCACTAATGAAATTAACTGAAACTATTGGAACTTGACTCGTTAGCAAATTAACAAAAAAATGTTTGGTAATCATTTTTATTCGCTAATGAGAAGATTGGTTTTGCAAAAATTCTGAAATAGATAAATTGCTCTGAATGGCTAAATAAAAAGTTCCATTAATTACAAAATCGCACTCTTCTTTTCCTGTTGTGCCAAATAATTTTATGACGTAAGACATACAGTTGTAACACCGTTTCTTGGCAATTATAATAGAGATAAATGGGAAGGTTTTTTCGTCACGGCCGAAGCTACATATATAGTATGGCGCCTTCGGAGTTCGGCTCTTAAAAGATATCTCTAGAGCAGTGGCAGGAGTGGCGTTTAGGATTCATCTCGTTATGGCGATAATAATATAGTATCTAATATGTATATATACATATATATACATTGATCATATGCAAAATGAAATGAGTGATTTAACACGGTTTGAAATTTAAAAATTTTATATATTGTTACAAGGCTTTATTCCATTTAGCACGATTCATTTTGAATATGATCAATGTCTTTTTTGCACGACTTTTTTAGGAACCAATCTACGGTGTAAAAACAGAATCAGGTGTATATATATATGGACTTCCCCGGTGAAGAGAACTAAAATGCGTAAGAGAATATCTTTAAAGCTGTTGAAATTTTGGATCAGCGATTTAAATGCTTACTTTCCTAACTTAAAAGTTTGGCACGTTTTTCATTTTATTATGCACCAGTATTATTAAAAATTCACAATCACAAACTTAATGGGACTAGACACAATATTTAATAATTCTTATAAAGCTGTAGCTTTTAATAACATTTTTCTTAACAAGCAGGATATTCTTTGTTTATCAAATGTTGTTGCTTTCATAAAAATTGCAATTTGTCTATTGTTACATTTTGCTATTTATCTAGCATTTTGTAACAAATTCGTCGACTGCACAAATATCTCATGAAAATTTGTATTATTGTTCCGTATTAAAATATTATACAAACTTTTTAGGGATTAACTTGTCAAACCGCACTTGTAAAATAACACCCCTAGCTTTAAGGGCTCAGTCATGCTGTTCTACTTAAAGATTGTATAGTAAATGCAATATATATTTGTACATATGTGCGAGTACGTATTTATATATTTCGTGTGCAGGCAGACCACTTTATAGCCAATGTTTGAGACTAACCAAGCTGAGACAAGCTGACAAATTATGCGCTCAGTTAGTTGCGGTTGAATTGCATATTAAATTTAATGCGATTTACATTTGCTATCAAGCTGTTAAATACAAACAGCCGTACACACGCATTCTTATATAGGAGTATGTAAGTAAGTAAGTATGTATGCATTTGATAATGATTTGAGGCGATTCAATGACGCGCCGTCGCCTGGTGGGTTGAGGTTTTGGTTTCTAGTATAGCAAACGAAACCGCATCGTTGCAGTTTGGCCAACTCAAATGGGTTTGTATCTGTATCTGTATAGTATCTGTGCGAATTGTCTGCCGAATTGTTGCAAGTAATTTTGCGGTTACATTTCGAGGCACGTTGCTTTGAGGCCGGACTGTGTGCGGGAGTGTGGTGTGTTGGGAAAGCGTGTGGGATTTGGATTGGGACTGAGCAAATAGTTCGAGGCGGACAGTTAGATGGACCCGCTTTGAAATTTTGCAGCTTGAAAATAATTGAAATTGTATAATACCTTTAACTTTTTGCACACATACGCAAAAAATAAAACAAAAATATATATTTTTTTTTATTTTGGCTGCTGCTGTTGGTTTGTTTGGGCTCCTGTCCTTTACAGCAGCGACTTGTTTTGTGCCGTTCAGACGTAAATTCCCGCAGCAGGCAGTAAAATATTTTTACATATTTGTTTGTTTTTTCATTCTGGTGCTCAGAAAAACATGTCTTTGATCTCAAACATGCGCGGAACCTTTTTGAATGCAACAACAATAACAACGAAAAAGTTTTATAAAACAACAAACACAGCTTCAAATATACAAAAATTAACAAATAAAATGTAAGTACTTAACAACAATGCAAAAATGTGCGGTATTCGCCGCTTAAAATTTTGTTTTTATATTTTGGATTTTTCTGGATATTGCGCTGTAAAATCATTTACGTAAGCAGAATTGAGGATGATGAAGTTATTTTCAAAAAAGGGGGAGGATTTCGGGGAGAACGATTGGAGGAAAACTTGTACCGTTTGGCATTAAAATGAAATTCGTTAGGCCTGTGGGGAAAACTGCGCTAATTAACAAAAGTTGGGAGTTCGGCGAATAGTTTAAAAAACAGTTCAAAAACCAAATAATGTGAAATTTATTATATATTTTTATATAAAAATCGTCTGGCCGAAGTAAGAAATTTATAGGCTACACACACAAAGTGAGATTTAAACTCACAAAATGTCTAATGTCTAGATACATAAGTATAATATCAGATTTCAATGTTCGCCCGGAAGCAATATGTCGGATTTATCTATTTTCAGGAATGTATGTAGCAGGAATGTATGTACAGGGGAAAACATATATTAAAGAATTTCAATTACAATTTCTTTGTCATAACGCCTAACACTTTTCTTTTGAATAATTCATTTAAAAACAAATGCAGAAATATAGCCTTTCCATTCCACGACGTTATAATATGTCTTTATATACATTAAAAAGCGTGATAGGAATAATCGAATCAAATTACATTAATGTCTAATGAACGGCTCTGACTCAAAGGGGGAATTTTATTGGCCATATGGCCGGCTATCCATCGATTCAAAGGTATTTGTATTCAAAGGCGTTAATAGACCTACAAAAGCTTTAAAATAAAATTTCCCAATTAAAATGTTATCACAGAAATGAAATTAAGTATTAATTAATAAATAAACAGTAAGAAATATAGAACTGAATTATAGCCAGTCTGGCCAGCTATGCCTCCCAGCCGCGAGCAGTAAGACATTCTACTTGTACAGGAGGAAGCTGAAAAGAAAAGCTTTTAGAGAGCTTGGCCGAGAACAGGTGGAAAATATCATTGTACTATAATTGAAGTATAAAGCCCGAGAGTGATTGTGCAATACTTTGTCAGTTGTGCAGCTATTCAAGAGAGGAGAAAATTAATTTCTTGTTGGAGGAGCTGAGAAATAAAGAGCCATTTTTAAAAAATATTAGGCTGCAATATTTGACTATATTACAAATCCATAAACAGCCAACTTTTTCAAACATAATGTCCCGATTTGAATATTGTTTAATAATCTCTTAAATATGGCAAAAATGTGCCAATTAATTCTTTAAAGATTGCCACATGTGTTACAACTTTACAACCATTTTATTGCTCTTTGATCCTCTCAACAGGCACACAGAGTAATTAAAATGCCATCTTTATGCATTTCAATGTCATTTTGAACTTATTTATGTTATGTTTTAATTAATTTAATGCTTTTCACTTATCACAACATGGGACTTTACGGGTTTTCCCGCCATAAATACAAATTTATGGCACCATTCAAATGGCTTTGCTAAAGTGTGCAAAATGCCAATGAACTGGGCCGTGAATGGTCCAACTAAAATGTGATGGCTGGCAATCAGCAATCGGCAACAGAAAACAATCAACAACAATCAACTGACAAAATTAAATCAAGCGATCAGCCGGCCCTGCTATAAAAAAATGATCGATATTGCAATTGCAAAATGTACATTTGGTGCATATGTAATTCGAAACACATGTAAAAGCCACAAAAGCACACACTTTTTTCGAGCGGTATGTTTAATTACACACACAAAAGTTCAGTGGTACAAAGTGAGGCAGTAATTAATATTTTTATTAACATTTAATGTATACTAATTGGGTTATAATGAAATTACAACAAGCTGGCGATTTACTGTACAGTCGATGCCACAAATTGAAAATATGCAAAATATAGTGCACAACACTCGTAAAAAGAAACAAAGAAACAAAAAAAACAAAATAAAAACAAATGCATAGACTTAAAAGGCCATTAAAATTGAAAACGAATTCAAATGAATCATATACATACATGTACATATACATACGAGTATGTTCACGAAATACGGAATGTGTGTCAAAATAAGGCGCAATACATAGTCGCAACAAAATACAAATGTTGCGAAAGAGAGAGAAAGAGAGAGTCGAGCAAAAAATTTCAAATTTCAATTCATGCATCTGATTTGTTTTGTTTTGTTACGTTTCGGGAGCGTTCGTTTTGACGCAATGAACTTGACGGGCTGTGGGGAAACTTGTTGGTTGGCTTGGCTTATTTTTGAATACTCATATGCCAGCTCCGTCTTCTCTCCATACAATTTTTGGATGCAACTGCATGTGCCTGACCTGTGCCGACGCGACGTTTGCGTTTGCGTTTGCCGCATGTGTCAGTCACTCGCTCAATCGATTGGTCGTCAGTCTCTGACAGCAGGCGCCGATCAAACGGCGTCGTAACGACACGGAGTTGGCAGAGAATTCATTGTATTTGTTGTTTTTGGCCAAAACAAAACAAACCCAACGAAACGAAAAATAAAAAAACCCTCCGAACCGGATTTTGGAGCACGCAACGCTAAATTCTTTCTTTTTTCTGACAGCTTTCGTTCGCCTGCAATTTTTGGTTAAAATATAAAACCGCAGCGCACAGAACATTAGACGTATTGGAGAGCTCAAGCCAAACGGAGCAAAAACCGATTAGAATTTTCGGAGTGCAAATACTATATAAAATACAACATATTGCCAAATTAAAATTGAGTTAAGTCACAACATCATTCCAGAAATGTCTGCCAAATTCACAACTGAAATGGTAAGTTATGCATTCTAAAGTGAATCTCTACATGCCGGATAAATGAGTCACACAAGTCCATCAATAAACACATAGGAAGTTGCTTGATTCGAAGTAAATAAACGGTTTTCAAAACTAGGAAATGGAATGTTTTTAATGCCGGGTTTCCTAATTATTTCCATCTTTTAAATGTGAATGAAAACTGTTTATTAATTCTGAGCTCTGCATCAGTTTGTTTTTAAAATCCAACCTGCCAAGAAAATTTTGTGGAAAGACCAAAATATTAATTTTTGGAACCAAAACTAAAGTATAAAACCCAATAAGAACTGCTGTAAAAGAAGATTTCTTATTGGTTTGGAATTATAGTGCCCTTTGTTTTAAATAAAACAGTTTCGTTTAGCTCCTTTTCAGTAGCATTTTACTTAATACAAAAATATCTATATAAATGATCATCGTTATCGTAAAAATGTCGCTTGTTTTGACCCGTTTATCAAATTTTCGCTAACGTTTAAAGAAAAACTGAAATATAAAAGCTAACTTTTATTTTTTATTTCAACCCGATGTAGTTGCTGCTCAGCTGTTGCCTCAGCGTGCTGGCCAGTTGCGCCTTGGCTCATCCTCGCTATGTCAGCAGGGATTCTAAACATCGAGGTCGCTTCTTCGACTTGGAGGGCGCTGCCAGTGAAACTAGGCTGGCCTATGCTGGTCGACCCCAACAGCCCTTGCAGCTGAATGACAACTACAATCTGATCATGCCCGACTACTATGATCATCATCCGGCCGAGTCGATGCAGCTGCAGAACTTCGCCGATTTCCACGATGTTCAAGTGGCACCCGAAAATGATCTGGGCATGGATGAGTCACAGCATCAGCAATTCCTGCAAAGCACGCCGGTGCGCGCTCCCATGCCATTGAGTGCTGAGGAGCAGCGCATCCGTCAGCATGTGGAACCTGTTGATCCGAAGCGCGAGAAGAAGATGATGCTGAAGCTGAAGAAGGGCAATACAAAGCCCCGTGGTCCCGAATATCAGCAATGGGATCAGTTTGACTATGACCTTTATAGTGCTAATCCGGGTGATAGCAAGAAGTACAACCACGCCGGTTAGAGTGAAAGGCTAAGCGGACCTTGCTTGGCTATATTTTGACTTTAACAAGTTGTTGTTTTTTGTTTTGCTTTAACTTGAAATTGTGATATGATTTTAAATAAATTATTTATTTATTGTTAAGTTTATTTGTTTTAATAATTTGGAGATTGCTTCTGATTACTGCTTCGGAGTTGATTATATTTTAATACGAGATTGGCGCCTGTTTTCTTTTTTGCCGTTATTCGTAGGCGCCAGTCTGCCGCTCATCATTGTTTTATTTTATTCTTAGCAAATTCGTTAAGTTAGCTAATTGCTGACATAATTTGCTAAAGGCATTTTTGGTAGCTCCGTCATCTCAGTTAACAGCAGTGCGCTTCAATCCATTTCCAGATATTTACGGCTATGCAAATTTATTCGGCTTGCTCAGACGTCAATACAAATTTTGTTGGCAAACATAGCGTATGCGTCATTGTTTACTTATAAAAAATCAATTTAAAAAAGATTTGAAGACTTTTACCTTTTAATTCTGATTTACAAAATTTCTTCATTCCATTTAGCACGAATCAAAATAACACAAAATAAATAAATAAAAAACACACAGCTGACAAACAGCTAGAAAGGGGAGGACTTAATAGGATTTAGAGATGAGGAACCCTTTTTTGCATATGATTAATGTATTTTTTACACGGTTTTTTCTAGAACCAATCTAAATGTTGAAATTGCAAAAGAAATTTAAATATATTTTATATATGAAATCGGATCTATATTGATTAAATTAGTGGGTTATTACTATGGGTAGACAGAGTCAAAATATTAAGATTGGTTGCTGTGAATTGAAATGATTCCGAATTGCAGACGGAATTGAATAGTCCTACATGCTGATCAATGGTGTGTACACTTTGTGGATATATCTGTTGTTAGTTCTTGCATTGCCTTAAGTTTGATATTCGTAGTATAGCTTTGGGTATTCTGAGCTCTAAAAACATAACATCACTCACCCGGCATTCAAAGTGCTGGGTATAAAAAACGATGGCATTCTTTATCGCCAGTTTGAGTCACATTCACCGTTTTATTCACAAGACTAGTTTGACTACCAAATAAGTTCATATCGCCGTTTTCTCTGACGTCTTCGCATTCTGTTATTCCAGTGCCTGTGCTGACAGTAAAACACTTTTCAGCTTGTCAACTGCCAGCGGAGATGGCTCGAAATAATCGCTGCCCACCTGAACTTCCGTGTAAGGTGTAAGGCGCCGGTCCTTGGGACGTGCCGTTTTTAAAGCTACCAGATAGTTGGCGTAGATGGCCTTTGCTTTGTCAACATCGTCAGTGCAATAAGAGTTTTCTGTCAGGTGTGCGTGTCCCTTCGGCCTTACAACGCTTCCGCGCAGCTTATAGCGCCGGGTTGTTCCCGACTCCTGGTGAACGGACGCTGCCGTCGTCGACCGTGTGGGAAACGTAAATGCGACTGCTGGACGCTCGTAGTGGTAACGGTCGAGACCATTGGTGACAGTTAGCGAGAATGTGATGATTACCAACACCTACGAGAAAAATTGTTTTTTATTTTCTCCCCCTTTTATTTCAGTTTAATCATTTTTGCAGGCTATTTACCAGCAGCGTCAAAACATTATAGCGACTCGTCATCTTTGAGGTCCGTTTTTGTTGGATTCTAAGCACAGACTAAGTTTGCTGTTTGCCAAGAACATGGGGAGGCTGTAAAAACTTAGGCCTTGCTACATGTTAATCACATTTATGCGACGTTTCGAAAAATATTCTGCTAACTTCATACATAAACCGGTATGATTAGCTATTAATGAGTATAGAATGCACTGCAAAAAATGTTTATCTGAATGATAATAGTTCACAAAAATATTTGTATCTCTACTGATGGAATGAATAACTCTGGAGCAATAATGAAAAAAATCTCTAAGGTTGTACGTAATTATCAAAATTTATTGATTAATATGTGCGTCATAAGCCTGGCTGAAAATTATGACTTCAAGCCCCTTAAGTTGAACGTGGTTTCGGCCAGAGTTCGAGGTTCGGTTTTAAAACTGGTTCCTTGTATTTACCATGCCCGAGTTCGAGAACATTTTTAATGTCGGCTTGTATTTTTTACTCAGTTATTATTTTGAAAAATTATCGAGTAATTAAAAATGGTTGCTAGTTAATTTACATATGTCTTACACACAATTTAATTTAAGCTAATTAACATGATATGTTTTCATTTTGATAAATCTCAAAATCGATTAAAGGTCCAATAAATCAACGTATAAAATAAAACATAACTTGTTCATTCAGCCAACCATCAACATATGTATATATATACTGCTATATACTTTACTATACAATTTTATTAAGCAGCATTATTTCTTACAAGCAAGTGTATACGTAGTCTTGCAGTATATGTATAATCAAATCAACAAGAAATTGTTGAAGTTAGCATATTAACGGCTCTTTTTATTAAAGGTCTCAGAATGACCTAAGGACAGAAACGTTATGGCCAAATGGTTATTTCCACTAAAGCTCTTCTGATCAATAAAACATTTACGTTTAGACTTTGAGTTTTCGCTTAGCCACATTAATTGAAATGCTTATTGGATATTCAAACTGTTTATGTAAAATAGGTGACTGATAAGGAACGAAAACATGGCAATTGGAATGTAAAGTACGAGTATATGGATATATCGTAAAGTTATCAATTGTATGCATTGCATCGACTACGAGAATAACATTTCTATCCGACTACTACTTCTTTGTTTCGGTATATAAAAGCATAACAAACCTAAAAGCGCTGACGATGCTAAGAAGATAAAACTGTCAAATACTCAATATTAATTTGAATTATATGCAATTCTTTTCTTTTTCGACAAAGTAAGTTTGGTTATGTTTCGATCTAAATACTAAGCAAAATACAAAACTGCAATGAGAAAAATAGTGCAGCAGCAACTAAGATGGGATAGATGTATCAACAATTCTATAGGTTTATAACTGCGAGAGAATGAATAGTTTTTAACAAATGTTGACTTTTCATTTTAATTAAAAAGAAAGTGGCGCTTTAATTGACGTCCGATATTTGCAACTATGTATAACCACAATGTAAATGTAGTATAAGAGAAAGTTTTATTACATTTTGAAGAGTTTTTTTGTTGAGCGGTCGAATTTATATTTTCCGCTCCACAAGATTATTTTATAATGTCCACCTTCCGTGGGTTCTTTGGCGAATGTAAAAAAATGATAAAATTATATAAAATCAAAGGTCAACAGTGAAAGAGAGCAAGTTGAAAAGTTGTGCAACATTATTGCCAAAGTGAAATGTTTTGCCGCACGCGAGACAAATTGCCAATATTGTTAATGAGTGCTATAAAAAATCGACACTAGTTTATTACCAAAACTTTAAAATTAGTTAATAAGAGCTAAAAAGTTATCTTCGTCTAAGCCGAAGCTATACTATATACCTTCACAAACTTTATTTCTCCCCGGTCAGAGGTCAACATTTTTCTGTCATTATTCCTTCTGGGTGTTACAAGCTATACACCAAAAACACTAGACACTTATCACTTGATTGGTGAAGGGTATAACAACAAAAATTCGTAAGAAATGCGAGGAGCTCCTTAATTATAAGGATATCTCAGTAGCTGCGATTCACTGTAGCTATAGGTGCGCCTATTGCGGGGACGCAGTTCACCCTTCGCATTGACCTCGGTACCTGGGGGCTTGTACGAAGCAGCAATGGCAGCGGCTGCTCCACCACGATGATATGAGCCACCAGCATAGGCGCCAGTAGCTGTGCCCGCGTGCTGGGCACAAACATCCTGGGCAGGCTGGATGACGGCGCGGGCTGCGTGCACCAGTTGCTGATGACTTCCGTCCACCTGTCCAGGATTTAGAGTAAAAGGTTGGCACTGCCCATTGGGCTGGCAGGTGGTGATGAAGCGCTGGAAGTTGCGCGCATCGCCGGCCACATACTGTTTGTAATCAAAAACATCCAATTGGGCCGCTTGCGACTGCGCAAAGTAGTCGCCGACCCGGGCTCCAACAGCATGACCATTCGCAGCGAGTTGCTGTTGTTGTTGCTGATGTTGCTGTTGTTGATGATGCTGTTGTTGATGATGCTGCTGTTGCTGCTGGTGCGGGGGCCCGTTGCCATGACCGCCATCTTGCGTGCTTTGGCCATTGGACAGTTTCACGATTGCGTAGGGCTGTGGATTGTGAGCGGAGCTAGTGGAGGCGTACGACAACGCCGTGGAGGAGGATGTTGCTGCCGAGGCAGATTTTGCCGCTTGTGGTTGCGCGTAGTAGGACGCTGGCAGCGGCGTCTGAGAGGATTGTACTTGGTTATAGTTGTTGCTCGGCAGGAGAGGATTAACGTGACTAGTCGTCGGCAGTTGCTGCAGTTGTTGTGGTTGCGGTTGCAATTGTGGCGCCTGGTAGAGCTGTTGCGGCGCAGATTGCACTGTTAAAGGCGTCGCTTGTTGTAGTTGCTGTTGAGAATAGGGCAACCGATTGCTCTGCACACTGCTCTCTTGATGCGACACATAAATAGCCGGAGACTTGTGCATTTCCAGCTCATAGGCACGACCCTGCGGACCCAGAGTGTGGACAATCAACTTGTTCGGCTGCTGTTGCTGCAAAACCTGTGGTTGCTGGTAGCTGACCTGTTGTGGCAGTTGCAGTGGGTGCTGTTGGGGCTGATAGTCTGATGCCAAGGTCGTCAACTGCAGACTGCCCGTGTGGAAAGGTACTTGTGGACGAATATACTGATATTCTACACCAATAGTGGGAACCAGCAGCAACCCAATGGCAGACTACGAACAATTTTAGATAAACATATTAATTTCATGTACATGGATTGCGATTTTAAAATAATTTATTCCTAATATCACGACTATTGTTGTAAAATATATAAAAATATTTCTTCAACTGAATAAAAAGATACCCACTTTAAACAAGAAACTGATATACGAGTATATGAAAGTAGGAAAAATTTTGACCTAGCAATGGAAACTCTCACAACCTGTTTTATGTTTATAGACACTCAATGTATGTATGTTGGGCATGTATAGTATGCATTTTAAATTAAATCGGAAGTGCTTTATATAAACGTTCAAGCTAGATTGTAAGATGTAAGGTTTCCCAGCAAAACGTAAATATTTCAAACACATGGAATCATTAATTTTGAAGTCATCATCAGTTTTCAATAAAGATTTTTATGCGAGTAGTTTCTGTAAAAATTTGTGTAAAGCGAAACCGACAATGTATGTTATTTTTTGATTCATTAAAATGATTTACTGTTCCTGGATGTGCATGAGAGTGTTCGATATATTGAACTAAAAAGAAAAGTTATCTTATTGTTCTTCAGACTTAAAAGTTTATTCATTTTAAAAGTCATATCAAAATAATTCGCTTCTATTTCGTTTAATCTGCAAATACAGAACTGCTATACAGAAATGAAATAAATATATTGAAATGAATTAAATATTTAATTTGAAACAGATTTTCTTCCTCTCTCTTGTATAATTATTTAAAACTGCTTTGAATTAAGAAATGCTCCGAGACTTGTTTGAAACAACTTGGTTTAGGCAACAACAATTACCTTTGTGTATATTTTACAGTCTGATATAGATTAGTAAATGTTTCTATATGTCACTTACCATTAAAACAAATAACAACATTTTGTAGTTGTAGGAGAGAGCTCGCACACCAAATGTTTCAAAATTGTCGAGCGTTGTGCACTGTTTGCCAGTTGATTTTAAAATGAGGCATGCGACGCACAACTTGAACAGTTGGACTACGTCTCCATGTCACATGGAAATCATGTAAAGTTAAAGAGGAGAGGAAACATCGATGGTTAAACGTTGAATGCAGAGCCGGCGTTGGCATCTTCTAAGCCAAAACTTGTTTTGGGCCAAGAGATTTGAGTGTGTCGTTGCCTGAGCATCTCCGTATTTGTTGTTGATGTGCTTTGTTGTAACCATTTCCAACAATTTCATAATTTCTTTTATTTTGTTTTGTTGGTTTCGTCTGCTATTTTATTGCTGTTTTGGTTGTTTTTTTGTTGAGCTGTGAACACTTCAACGTTCGTTCGCTTGCGGCATCATTTGGCTATCACTCACGTATACGAGTATTTTGTCATAATTAAAGTGGCAACTTTATAATACAATATATGTATATGTATGAGTGTATTTGTTTAATTTTGTGTTTATTTTTTTGAAAACATCTTTTTGTCTTTGTAGACTTTTGCGTTTGTTGTTGCGGATTGTTAATGTGCGTTCGCATGTGCTTTTACTCACTTCACTTCTTTCACTGAACTTCAGTTGGCTCTGGCTTAATTGGATTTGTCTTGCATGATTTTTGTAAATTTGTCGGCAATATTATTGGAGCTGTCTGTTTGTGTGTTTAGTCGGGTCATCAAAATCTCTTTATAGAAAGTAAAAGTGCGATCGATCTTGCTATAAAGCTGACATTGTTTGTCTTAGATGGTCATTGTTAATTTAGTGTAAAAATTTGCATGAGCTTATGCATATATTTTAATTGCCAAATAAATTTAACAAATGTTCATCTTCATTTCACTTAGTAAGTAAGGTCTGTGGGTGTTGATTTGTGGCCGACCAGATAATAAAACATGTGCCGATGGGCTGTCTGATTTAGCAATTTAGAGGCCATCAAAACCAATTGCCTTTAGTCATCTAATCAGCCAAAGACCGATCTCCAGTCAGTTATATATATTTAATTTAATTTGCTTAAAGTTCTGTTTTCTATTGTTTGAGAGTGAATTTCCAAAAAAAAAATCGATGATATAGACGATTGATGTTGTTTATTTAGTACGAACTCAATTTCTCACCTTAAAAATCAATATTGCTTTAAGCAAATACTTAGCGCACACGACCCTGACACTGATCTTGTTAAGTTTTTGAAAATACCATCTCTGAACAGGTGCGGATTATATCTCATGTGAATTTTAACCAAAAATAGTTTTTTTTTCACCATCATTCACCATTACGCACTACATAAGACCATGCGTATAAAGAGTGGAATCATAAAAACTGAGGCATCGTTAAGCGACAAACCAAACCGGTACACAGAAGATGAGGTATATAGTAACTTTGATCCATTCATTATTAATCACGTTGGAATACCTTTTGGCTTTATGTAATCGAGTTCAGCGTAGTCTTTCGAATAAATGTTTGTTATAGGTAATAATATATTTAAATAAGCTTTTTCTCAAACATGTTTGCTGTTTTTTTTCTTTTTCAATTTACTCGTAGTAGTAAAAATTAAGTAAGTAAATTTTTTTTAGGCCAACACCTAACGTCAAGCTACGCCATGACACCGCACAAGCTGCCAGCGTTGGTCTGCTGTGGCATGAATGAGCTTTAGCTTGCCCGACTTCCGTTGAAATTGACATGCACGCAACAAGAGAACTGCATGGCATGCAATCAAAGTAAAATGCACTTGAAAGCCACTTGGCAAGCCGGGCCTCGTCTGCTCGATCGCCCCTTCAGCCATGCGTTTTTACAAACAAAACACAACAACCAAGCAACTGCCAACACTTGACATTCACAATACGCATAGAGAAATAAAAAAAGAGAAGGAGGGCCATGGCTCGTCATGTCACGCATGGGCTTATCATTGCACGCTGCACTTCATAATGCCAAAGTGGCCAATGTTGCGTATACGCAATATACGCCGCGACTTTCTTCAACTTGAGCAGGCAGTCACGCGCGGATGTTTGAACGCTCCCGTTTTCCCAACTCTGGTGTGGGTGTGTCTATCCGTTGTCTGCATCGTTGCTGCACGATGCGTGCAACTGGGCTGCATTCATACATACATTCTCAGGGTTAGAAGCCGCGTCGCGTTGTATGCAACACTGAAATGAGATAGAACACGTGATATGCGCGCACGGGCCATTGAAATTCCGTCTGCAGTCACATAGACTGTAATTGTACACTAAGAGAAATAGCAATATGAATGAACAAAAAGGTAGGCAAATGCCTGCGAAAGTCACTACGAATGTATATGTGGAAATGACCGTATCTTCTAGAATTTTAGTACTAGAAGAAACTCACCTTGTTTTGTTATGAAATACCCTTCAAACATTTTTTAAAATAAATACATTGTCACTTTTTTTTTTTGATTTGTAGACTTGAAATCTTCGTTGTATCGAACTAAGATATGACTCGTCGTTTATGCCATATGTTTGTATCTAAAGTATAGTATGGGAATCTTAAAACATAATCTGATGCATTTTGCTTCATTGCTTAATATAGAGAGATTTTTTTTGAAAGATTAATTAAGCAGCAACGGTTGGTTGGATTCTTCTTATTATAGAAAGAAAGGCAAGTCAGTCCAAGGAATTCTTTTCGCTTTGTGTATTAGCGTGTTTGTGTGTTCGCTTCAAGCTTTCAAAGGGAGAAATGCAGTTTGTTTATGTGATTTTGCACATGAAGCGTCAGTTTAGACACCTTTTGGAGGCACACACATCTGCATTCAGCAAATCAGTTGTTGGAGTAATTTTTGTAATGAGTTACTACCTACTTTTGGGCTTTGACTGCAGCTTAATTAGGCACATGTGCTAACTCAAATTAGTCTGCTGGAAGGTGAATGAACCCGCTGCCTGGGCGCTCAAGTTTCCGCTGCTACAACCCTTCTACAGTTTCAACACCCACACAATTGTGATGTAAAAAATAAATGAGAGAGTAAGAGCTTTAAAAACGTTGAATCGCAACAACAACAACAACGCAGGCACAAAAAAGTGCTAAAAAAAGAAAAATCAATTGCATAATGGCGCATGTGTTGCACAGCAGCAACAACAACAGCAGAAACAAATCGCAACTCTTTTTTTTTTTCATTTACACTCTGCTAAAAATTCAACCACCGTGCTCTGCCAACGGCCGCCACTCGACTTGCAACGATTTTTGTTGCAATGCTGCCATATTTTTTTTGCTACTGGAGACAAACAAACACAGCAATGACGTTGATGTTGAAGTCGACGTTGACGTCGACGTCGAGGTAGAGCGACCAACGAATGAGGCGACGTCTCTAACGAGAACTCTGGCTTAATTATTAACAGAGGCGCAGACGTCTGCATCGCACATGAGCACATATACCCGCACACACACACACACATAGCCAAGCATTCAAAGCAGCTCCAGATGACAGCTTAACTTTGTTTTGGGCCTATCCATTTCTAGCTGGCAACAACTTTTTCTGCAGCCCGAGAAACCAACAAAATGCTGGCAAAGCTTTCAAGCGTTCAAAACGTTTTAATAGGCTTAGAATCAGGAGCTCTACGAGCTGATTGCAAACTATCAAAACAAGGCCGATAAAAGTTGTGTGCAAAAGGCGGGGGAAGGAAATGTGGAAGGGATAAAAAGGAGTGGGAATAGAACATGGGCAGGGCAGAACAGAGCAGACAACGTGGCGAGACAGATGATACGCGGGAAGCAATGGCTGCTACTTTGCCAACAAGTCAGCCGCATCAGCACAAAAAGCAGGACCACAATAAAAATTTGTTATATGCAGTAAGTGTGAAAAATATGTTGACAAGTAGTCGTATTGCATGTGTGTTTATTACAAATATTGTAGCTTGATGCTGCAAAGAAAATTGCAGTTAAAGAAGTTTTATAAGACGCTATATTACAGAGAATCGGAGTCTTCTTAGCCAGCTAGTAAGCCTCTTTTAGAGAAAAAATTAAAAATGTAGAGAAGAAATTATTTCAAAATTTACTAGTTTTGTGCGAATATATGTAACACACAGAAGGAGGCGTGGCAGACATCACAAAGTATATATATTATTGATCTGGATGGCAAGACGAGTCGATATAGCCATGTCCATCTGTCTGTTCGTCTGTCTGTCTGTATGAACGCAAGGGTCTCAGAAAGTACAAGAGCTAGAATAACCAAACTTGGTATCCAGATTTGTGTTTTTTTCTGATACACCCCCCCACTCCCCCGCAATTCGTGTTTTTTCCATAGCTCCCGTAATTTTTGGCATTTTGTACTCTGATTTGACAAATACCGAAAGTTGTAGCCATAATAAATTAATAAACATTTTCTCTGCCGAAGTTCTTTCCGCAGCTGTTATTGTTGTTGCTGCTTTAACATAATTATAGACGCATAGACACGATGAATGCATGCTGTTGAAACTGTACATAAAAATGTCTTCACTTTTATATGTAGGTATGTATGTATTAAATATATTTAATCTAATTTAATTAAATAATTGTTTTTTTTTTAATAAAATTTGTTTCCCCTTTTTCGTGGAGAGTACAGGCTATTTTATTGTCGGGCGTGCTCGACTGTATCGTTCTCTATTGTTATTTATCAGAAGCTACTTTTTTAGAGGTTCCAATGATAAATTATTGAAATCAGCTTCTCTTAATCCAAACACTTTTGCTACTGACTGTACACCATTTTTTGCATGTGATACGCTCATGCTCTATATGACACGCAAAATGCTTTGTCAACGTATAAAAATACACGCTACGCACATAAATATGGGGAGGGAGGGGTACTTTGTATGTGCGTGTGTGTCTCGACTGGGCGGCCAGAGTTTACGGCACGTTTATGTCTGGGCCTTCATTATGCGCCTGTACAACTACGTGCCTTGGTCTGTGGCGCAACCTATGTGTATGCAACGCTTTTTACCAGAGACGTCAAGAACTCAACGACTGCGGCATAGACTTTCTGCTTCTGTCTGCTGCCGTCTGCAGCGTCTGTTTTGTGGCTGCTGCTTCTTTTGTTTGTAATTTTCTTTTGATTAATTTTTGTATTTTTATTTTCGGTCATACGCGTCCAATACGACTAACGAAGCTGATGCTGTTCGTGGAACTCTGCTATTGCTGCTGCATTCCGTACAGGGTGCTGCACAAACTCCATGTTGTTGCATTCACTTCAAGGTCGATGGCAGCGCCGGTTTTCTCCGCGTCTCTATGGGATTGTAGTTTGCAGTCGTGCACCTGCCTGTGAGCTGCAAAGTTCCATGCACTCGTTCTGTGGTCCTTTAGGCGCATCAATTGTTGCTGATGACGGCAACAATGCCAGCGGGAACAACAGCAACGGTAACAGCAGCGGCAACAACAACTGCAGAATGGTTGGTCTGCAAATCAGCGACCGAAGTTTATTTGCATATGTCGTCATCATCCTCACCCTCATCATCACAGTCGTCATTATCAGCAACGGCAGCAACGGCAGAGGCTGCAAAATCAACGCCAGCAGTGGCAGCATCGAGCATGATGAAGCACAAAATATGCGCCTAGGCGCAAAAAAAATAAACTGCCGTCGTTCCCTTTGCGCCACCGTTATGTGCGATGCAAAGACGGGGACGGCCACTGAGGCAAGTTGCGACCAAAAAAGAAATTAAAATAAAAAAACAACACGGCACGTAAAAAAAATGAAGAAGTATTACAGGCGAGACAAATGAGGACGGCGGTGACATGATAGCTTGCGAAGTTGTCTGCGCGTTGGCCGCCACCGCCAGCGCCAGCGCCACCGACGCCGCTGCCAACGCTTCCAACGCTGCTGCGGATGTTGCCGACGCCGACGTTCCTGCAAAATGCAGCGACATTGCCGTTGCAAGCGTTGCATTTTACGTCACTTTTTTGTATACTCCTTTTTTTAGCTGCTGTAGCTTTTGCTATATTTAAACACGGTGCGGGTTGTAGCTGCTTACTATATATACACTACATACATATATGTATGTATGTACGTGTTTGCGTATGCCTGGGTTAGTGTTAGTGTGTGTGTCAGTTTGCATTTTTTTGTGTTCTGTGTTTTTGTGCTGGCAGGCAGCAGCTCGTCAACCGTAGCACTTCATTTGCTTCACAACTCATTCATGTTTTGTGTCTTGTTGCAGGCTAGCGAGCGAGCCTACTCGCTACACCGAGAAAAACAATTGCATTTTAAATGAACAAATCAATCAAAAGCAAAACAATTAATTAAATTATTTCATTATGAGGTTGAAATTTGATTTTTGCCATTCTTGTATTTTAAAGTGCAGAATATTTTAAGCTCAGAATAAATAGTACCTCGAAAGGTTAAAATAAATAAATGCACTGAAATTATGCTACTTATTGTTGTGGCATCTGTTATGGTTGGTTTTTTATGGTTGATTCACCCGCCTGCAACACCTAAAACATAAAATTTTAATCTGTGTAAGAATGGTAAATAAAATCTCATTTATCTTACAAGTTTACTAAATCTAGAAAGTTTTTTCGTCACTTTTTTTAATCAGTGTAATCAAGCGAACAGGCAGTCATTTAGTCAGTCATTCAGCCGACTAGTCATTCAGTCCGCTAGTCATTCAGCCGACTAGTCATTCAGTCCGCTAGTCATTCAGTCAGTCATTTAGTCACTCAGTCTTTCATTCATTCAGTCAGTGCCAGATCGTCAGACATTGCCTCTAAGCTGAGGTAAACAGCAACAACAACAACAACAACAAGAGAGTCGTCTGTCACTTGTCTCGCTTTGGCTCATGTGGCCTCTGCTCGGCCTACCAGTCTGCCTGCCTGATTGCAAACACTGCACCGCACCAGCCGCTCACCTAGTTTCGAGCTCGCCACTGCCTCCACTGGCTGGCTGCCTCACTGGTTGCCTGGCTGAATGCACTTAGACATGTTGGTGGTGGTACTTCTGCTATTGCTGTAAAACCTCCCCAACTGTGCAATAGTTGTTGTTGTTGTTGCAGCTCCCTCGCGGCGGGTATCGCTTACAACAAACACTTGCAACGTTTGCAAAGCTTCTGCTCCGCTGCTCCGCGCTCGTTGCTCGGTCGTTGGCTGCTGCTGCTGCTGCGGTGGCGGCAACGGTGGCAACGGTGGCAACAGCGACGGCGACGGTGGCTGCTTTTCCTCGAGAACTTCTCGGCGAGTTCTCGACTGCGTGGCAGCCAGCAGGCCTCACAGTACGTTCGCGTGCTTTGCATACTTTGGTTGCGTTTTTTTCCCGTATTGTGCGCGCGCTTTTCACTGCAACGTGTGGCAGCTGCAACAACACATCGCCATTGCCTCGTTCACCAGCTAGTCAGTCAGTCAGTCATACCCGTACATACGAAGTGCAGTTAGCGTAGGCGCGATTTTTGATTTGTGTGTAGGCCTGCATTTAGTTTGGTTTGCTGGCTTTCCTTCGTTTGCTGCCGTTGTTTTATTTGTCCTTGATTATGCATTTATTTTGCTTGCAATCAACTCGTCTATGCGCTGATTTATAGGAGCGTGCAAAACGTGACGCCATCCGCAAATTCGCGATCTCCCGCCCACATCCTGCGAGTGTCTGCCAGGCAGTGTGTGTGCGCTTCAATTTGCATTTTCGCGGCCGCAATTTGTGAGAGCGTGGAGCGAAGCAAACGTTGCGTTTCCGCAGTTTTGGTCATTTTCGCGCCATTTTTTCGTGTTTGTCGACATTCGCCATCGTTCATTGTTGCCATCGTTGTTGTTGTTATTGGCCGTCTGAGCCGCACTAAGCCGCCGCTATTGCTGTCCTTGCTGGCCCTGCTGGCGTTGCTTGTTTGGCTCGTTCGCGCGTGTTGCATGTCTTTTTGGTTTTGGACCTCGCCATCCATAAATCAAACGGCATAATTGTGCGTGTGTGACCGTTGGTACGAACGAATGAACGAGCATCCTGCCCCGTCGGCCCCTCGCAACACACCGCTTGAATCTGAGCCCCTTGGTTGTCATCGTCGTTTGGTTGCGTGTTTGTATTGGCACCCATAGCAACAACTACATTTGGTAGGGGCGTGTGAGGCAACAACAAGTGGCGGGCACACCATGTAATGATTATGTCTTAATAGCGCCATCAACTTACCCCCGAAAATCTTACAAATGAAGTGTAAAAGCATTTGATTATAACACGCCCTTCTGCATCAAAGCCGCTTAACTTTGCGTATTGTGTGCAAGGATTAGCAGCAACAACAACAAAAGACATAGCACATACACAACACTCGACAAGTGATACATTGATTACTACACACATATTGTAAGTATATTTTCAAAGATTATGCTTGAAAATCAGTCTAAAGTATGTCAGTAAATATTTTAAAGTAGAAGCTGTGGCAGTGCGTCTTATTATAAAATGTTTCTGCTTATAATACATAGAATTGATATATTCCTTTTTAAACTGCAATTGGTTAAATATATGCACGTTCGTTGAGCTGACAACTGTTATGAATATAAGCTCACGGGAAAATGTATAATTCAGGCACGGGAAAATTTAATTTCGCATAGAACTTAGAACTTACTTAAATGTGGAGAAAATGTATTATAGTTTTGTGTTATTGTCATTTTGTGGTTAGAAGCAAAAGTAAACTTTATATAACCTGAGGTTTGTGCGAATTCTCTAAATGGCAGAAGAGATCCCCTGCGACACTACAGGTACATATAGTATAATATATGTATATGTCATAGAATATGGCGAGAGTGTTCTAGAACCTTAAAGGAACCTTCAGAAGGTACAACTATTATAGATCTGACTGTTTATGGTCGATATACTTTATATATCCTTGAATCTGTGGGTGAGCTGGTCTTTTCAACTAATTTATTTGTGAATAGACTTTTGGGCTTGATTATATAAATTAACAAAATGTGTCTGAGAATGTGTATTAATTAATCTTTAGCGCACGTCTTGCACCTTTCGTTGTCTTAATGTTGTCACATATGTACGTCTTTAGCGCACATGACCCCTTTCGCCTGCTTACTTTCCTCTTCTTTCCGAATCTATCGATAAAAGTCTGTGTCGGGCTGGCTGTGCATCGTTGCCACATCATTCCCACATATACTCGTATGTTTCATACCATATAGCTATCATAATTTTTATACTCTGTACATGAAATGTACAGGAGTATATAAGGTTTGCGAGAGGTGAAAAATGTAACAGGCACAAGGAGGCGTGGCAGACCCCACAAAGCATATATATTCTTGATCAACATGACAAGACGAGTCGATCTAGCCCTGTCTGTCAGTCTGTCCGTCTGTTCGTCCGTATGAACACCTGGATCTCAGAGATATATATAAGAGCTAGAGAGACCCTATGGGGGTTTTCCCGATTTTCCATTCGTATAATCGCCTATATCTCGGAGACTATAAGCCCTAGAAAGATTCCTTATAAGATTTCTTTTAGTTTCATATATTCGATCGATCCCTGTTTGAATGCTACCTATTATAAAAAATTGCAATTAAATAGTCAACTGTCTTACCTTTCAAATAGGTCAGCAATGAGTGATATAGTTTATTCCATTGAAAATTAATTGTCAAGTAATTGGGACTATTAATTGCATTTCATGGCCCCTTTCACAAAATACTTCCAAGCACTCTTTGAAAACTGCTTTAATTTACACTGCGAATGGCAGTTTTACATACATATATATATTCGAATATATTGTGCTGTTTAAGGTCATATATACTTATATTTATAATACATATATGTATATCAGTTATAGTCTACCAGTGTGTTCATATGTACATACTGGTATACCAATATTTGACATTTGTCAGAAATTATTTGACACACATTTGTGAAATTATTCGATGAGAAGAAAAGTCATCATATTAAATTTGTCAATGTTGATCTACATGTATTGGTCGCAAAAAGCTTTGATGGTCTCCCTCTAGGTTTTCTTTAGTTACATACAAGTATAACGCCACTGGAACTTATGATTGGCAGCACAATTTCATATATAGAAAGCATGCATATTGTTCCACGTGCAAACAAAATTTGCATTCCGAAACAATTAAATATATACATATTTTACTGTACCACTTAATGAATGTATTTTTATTATAATGTATTTCGTTATAAGATTCTTTTTCTGATATATGAATAGATGTGTATGTAAGTATTTGTGCAGTCTGTTCGAATACTCAATGAACAACTCGAGACACACATGCCCCAATTCTATACACTTTAGCAAATACTCTTCATCACATACATAAAAAGGTTTTTTTTCGCTTCTGAAATATTTTTTTATATTTTAAAGCAATAATCTCTTTCATCAGTTTACTTGTCGGCTTGAAAGCTTCTATGCAAAGATTTGTAAAATGCACGTTCATTGCACCAAACACAGGAAAGGAGGACAAAAACCCTCCATAAAAACTTCGCTTCTCGTCTTTGAGTTCCTCAAATTTGCATAAGAGGCGTGTGCACAAGTCCTATTAAAAATTTCAATTATGTGCAAACAAATGGAGGAAATGCAATTTCAATTAAAAACGACAACGAAAATATGATACGACTCAAAGCAACAGCAACAAAAATAACAGGAAGGACAACAGGAGCAAGAGGAAAGGCAAGCAAAGGAATAAAAAAGTGAAATCGAAGCCGTTAACATCGCACGCTTTGTTAAGCAGCCGAGGGCTCGGCTAGCTGGAGCATTGACAGTGGTAGGGGCGGACGAAGGATCAAGGGGTCCTGTTTAAATACTCGTATATGTGCGTGCATGTACTTGTCGCTTAGAAGGCTTCCATCAACCGCAAGTGCCTACCAACTGAGGTTGGGGGGCTGCATTTGAGTGCCGACGACTGCAGCCGACTGCAAATGCCAAGTGCAGACAGGTGCAGTGGCATTGACAGCAGACACATATAA